CTGTTCACGTCCCAAATGTCTACCCTCTGTGTCCCCTACTAAAATTACGGACTTCGCTGGCAGCTATGGATCCGTGCGCCGGCCAATTCATTCGGCGCACGGATCCATAGCTGCCAGCGCTGCATACTGTCGTAGGACGTTCCCGCGGTCGCGTGCGCCTTGCCGCGGAAATGCGCGCAAGATCTGCGCTTAGCGCTTTGGATTAACACCTCCTTTCGGCAACGCTTTTCTAGTATCCCGTCTCATCTTGATATTATGTTGGAGACAGGTGGTGCAGGTTGTATTGGAAAGAAGCATTTATGGCATTAAAAAGGACGTGTCTGCAGTGTTATAGGATTGTGATGATAATATAATGATCTATTCTTAAATGCTTTTGTACGAGGTTATTATTATTTAATCTTTAACAATATAACTATTGTATGTTGAATTTGTGTTATTCAGATGAACATGTTGGACCTTGTAAAGAAGTTGGCGAAGACATTCCCCAGTTCCTTAACAGGTTGCTACCAGACTGGTGTCGCCACCTAGTGGAGCTTGGGAGCACTCAAGCATCGCCGGTGCTTCTCATCGTGTGTATATCAGCCATCAGAGCGGTGGCGGTGAGGAGGTGAGTAATTGACGCATCTGTGTCAATAGTAGCTGTAGGGGCTTAGACTTGGGAATGCTGCCAAAGACTAGTGGCAGTGTTCCAGTAGCTGTGGGTACTTCACTCAACAAACCAGAGTTAACAGATAACGTAAATGCTAGGCAAGGGAAATGCGAATAGTATCCATTATAGACATCTGTCTGTTCTATAGAGGTGACTGCTACCATAGGTTTGTCTCTAGTTTGGCAATGTGGTTTCTTTAGAAAAGTTTGACTGTCATAGCAAGTTTTGTAAATGTGACAAGGCTTCATGATAGGGTGACTGCCACTGAATTAGAAGTTGCAGCAGTATAGAAGACTTGTTATTATCGTTATAGTCTTAAAGTGATTACGTCACCGTAAATAGTAAAAGTAAAGAAAATATTTCCACTTTGTCACAAAATGTAAGTAATTCTGTTTACTTTTTATGGTTAAATTGCTGCATTATACTTCGTATTTTACTATATAATATTGTTCAATATAAACATACACTCGTGACTCATACATAGCCCATAGCAAGCAATTAATTAATGTCAGGATCATATTTATCAAATCGTCCAGGTTTTTTAAAATTTTTAGCTAGTTGAGAAACAATCTTATCGGGTAACAATTTGACGATACGTTTAGTCCCGTTAGTACATACTTTTAATATACGTTTTTTTTTTTACAAATATACACCATAGAAAATTCTTGACGTAGTCAATTTAACCACTCTGTCTTCTCACTAAAAGAAGTCATGGTTTAATGTTTACATATTTGTGACAGAGCGATTCAAGATGTTCTAAAGTTGCAGAAAGGGATGCAGATAGGAAAACTCTTTGCCAAGCATTTTTCGGTAAGGTTTATGTGTATCATTGTGAGACCTCACACAATTTTTGGTTTTTGAATTAATTATAAGAGTAGTAACATTACACATATCATAGTGTAGTAATTTATATAAAATTTAATATGGCAGTTTTATACTGCTCCGGGTTGAAAAACTAATGTGATTTTGTGACAATTTTAATTATTGTTATATCGCCCTGTTGCTTCTACCTGTTGTGATTTTATACCTTAAATTAGGAGCAATTAAGGATAGCTGTTTGTTACTCGTCAGGTAACAGACCAGGCAAAGTTCCTCCAGAAAACTGTGGTCCCTATTGGACTCGGAACTCCAAATCGGATTCATAAACTCCTGGAAGAAGGTGACCATTTACACGATATGATATGTTACTTAACCTTTAATCTATTATGTTAAGACTTGGTATTATAATACATAAATAAATGCCATCATCTGGAATGAATAGAATGTTTTCATCAAAGACATACTATTTTGCCAAATGTGTACGTGTGGCTGGTGTGTTTCCAATCATCTTAGGAATTTCAAATCTGTGTAAGAGTTCTGATATACATATATTGTGTTGATAGTACTAACCTTATACATGAGAAATTCCTTAAAAACTGATTTATAATTAGCCAGCATACAATCTAGTATTGTTAAATCACAGAAATGTGCTACATTTTGAATAGCATAAATCAGAAAGTAGGTCGTACCAAATGCAATCAATTCAGTGCAGTTTTCACTATGTGTGTGAATGTGCGTGTGTGTGCGTGCGTGCGTGCGTGCGTGTGTGCGTGCGTGCGTGCGTGCATGTGCGTGTGTGTACATGTGAGTGTGCATGAGTGTGCATGTGTGTACATGTGAGTGTGCCAGAGATGCCAACCACTACGATTTATCCGTATTTTATACGAATTTATATTCCCATTTTTTTTTATTTATTGTAATTTTTGACCCGCAGAATGCAGGAAATTGCATCTCAGAATCAAAAATCTTTCCGGGGGCATGCCGGACCTCCCTAGCAAACTCGGGTCACTACGTGACCCTCGAACTACTAATTTGATGGCCAGAAACTACAGATTGCTTTAAATATGTGTTGGCATCTCTGGTGTGCATGCATGTACATGTGCGTGTGCGTGTGTGTACATGTGAGTGTGCATGCGTGTACATGTGCAGGGGCGGATCCAGAGGGTTTGGGTGACCAGTTTCCATAGTTCTAGTCACAGCTAGGGGTGTCCGGGGGCATGCCCCCCGGGAATTTAAAAAAAAAGAAGCTATATTTGGTGCATTCTGGTGAATTTTGAGGGTCAATTCTGAAGATACCCAGCCTGTGACCGGTTTCTGGAAACCGGTGCAAACCGGCCTAAATCCGCGCCTGATGTGAGTGTGCATGCATGTACATGTGAGTGTGCGGGTGAGTGAGAGTGTGTGCGTGTGCGTGTGCGAGTATTTGCGTGTTTGCTTGTGTTTCCACGATTATTGTGGGTTAATACCTCACTCTCTCTCTGCTCCCGACACAGATGCACTGTGGAAGGGTCAGCTTCGCTACATCGTGCTAGACTGGACGTATCGTGACGACAAACTGCAGCGGCTGTCCGACCAGAAGCTTGTGAGACGAGACCTGTTCACTCTGATGCATCGACACCTGATTCCACTAGTGAGGAATTCCTGCTGCAGATTCTCTCTCGTCTGATCCATAGAGCGGTGGCTTTGCGCTGAGAATTCATAATGAACAAGAGCAAACCTCCGCCACAGCGTAACAGTCCCCCCCCCATCTTGCTGGTACACCCAATATAGAGTTGGATGGCATTTTCAGAAATTTAGAAAAAAAATATCCAGATTTTTTTTTAATGAATTTTGAATGCGTCCGAAGTCCTACCCACCAAAAATATATAAAAAAAAAAAATCCTGGATCCAGATCCGGATCCGGATCACCACCAAAATCTAATCGATTGGTTCTTGGCCCAAGACCAACTCGTCCAAAAAATGCCATCAAAATCCGTCTGTGGCAGAGGTAATTATGGGAATAAATTACTCTTCATGATCAGTGATACTTCGGGTGCAAGCTTGGATATTTGGTTTCAGGGGGGAGGGGGAAGTAATGTTGGGCTATATGGCTATATGGATCTTGAGGTGGGAGTTTGAATAGCGGTTTGATGTAAATAGCAGCGATTGGCATCGTGTTCTATAATGTATAGTTTATTGCATCTAATATTAATTTTTTACCCGCATACAAATAGTTTTACTTAAAAGTCGTAACTTCCTTTAGGTGGTTTAACATTGTTTTTGTATAATGGCATCAAAAGTGAATAAAACTATTCACACACTCTTGTCAGTATAGCTATCAGTAGCACCAAATGTTAAAACACTCTTGAAACAACTCAACTCATGTTTCTTTCTAGTTTCTCGTGGTATGCACAATACTCTTGGCAGATTTCCCTAAAAAGCCTATTGTTTGTAAAAAATGTCAGTCCTGGTGGTTCAATAAAATGTTACTTGTTTTATAAAAATGGTAAAATCTGTTGTTCATTCAAGGTTTGAATTATTTAGGATTCTGACATCGTTTTCACAAAAGTATTTGCAAGTAAATGTTCATTATACGCGCAAAAGTGGCATTACTGCTTTAGAAATAATGGCACGTTATAAGTAGCAAAGACAACATTTTCTCTCTTCCCTTTCCCCTCCAAAAATAAATAAATATGAAATAAATACATAAAAATAAACATGTATATATATATATATATATATATATTAAGGATTCATCGGTGAGTAAAAGAAGAGACGCAATGGCGCGCGTTAAAGCATCCTATAGTACATTGCTCACGCTGCATGGGTGGCTGACCGCAGTTTAGAACGTGAAGGTGACATTAGATTATTGACTTAAGTCAGCCATGAGCGACTCGATCATTCTCTAGCATCGTAAGGTTCCTTCCGCCAATTATGAAATAAAAAGGCAATGCAACGAAGTGAGCTAACGCAAATACCAAGGGAAAGAGAGAAAGAAAGAGAGCGAGCGAGCGAGAAATAGAGTGTGTGCGAGAGAGAGAGAGAGAGAAAGAGGGCATGCAGTGGTCTGCCACATGTCCCTTGTTATACTAATGCACATGAATAGGGCGCAGCCATTTCGCCGACGTGTCGCCCAAAAGAAATGACGTAGGGGCGCGAGTTAAGGGCGCCGAGTTATACCGGATATTGATCTAATGTATAATTATGATATATATATATATACAGAAATACATTGGATCATTATCTAGTAATTCTATAATAAATAAAAATATATACCTACATATACATTTATAGCTTCAGATACGACAGTATACGTTTCTCCCCGCAGTCTGTAACTACTATTAGCACGGAATACTAGTGTATTGTATGGGAATCAATCACGTCTACTAAGCACTTGAAGCAGTATAAGATCGATGACGGGCGCTTGACGGAGTAGCGGAATAGCTCGCGCCGATTCTGAGAACAAACATGCAGAGCAACTCGCTATCAAGCCAGCACGCATTAGTGGACTTGCAGGTTACCCGTGACAACGCCAGCGCGCACCTATTGAGCAGTGTGACAGGTGTCACGGCGAGAGCGATCAGTGGCCATTAATCACGATCAGGGAGCGCGTAATTGAACGCTGGGAGGAAGGCGATGTCTTCCGCTGACGGAAGCAGCGATGCTGCTGCGTGACGTCACAACATGCTAGGAGCAACAACACAACCTGATAGGAAGCCACCTGATAGGAGCAAAGACAGAATCTTTTAGGGAGCGGTCTGATAGGAGCAACAACAGAACCTGATGGATAGCGACCTGATTGGAGTGTATACCCTCGCACACACAGCTTCGCTCGTCGCCCGAGTGTGTGTGTGGGCATATGACGATGTCTTGTGAGGGCAGCCAGACGTGAGAGCATCCAGACGTGAGAGCAGCCAGACGTGAGGGAAAGTTACTGGTATGCAGGGAATCCCAGCAGTACTGATGATCACGATCTATGCGCAGGTAAGATCTGTGCAGATAGATACATGCATAGATAGATGGATAGATGGATGGATGGATCTATGGATAGATGGATGGATGGATGGGTGGATGGATGGGTGGATGGATGGATGGGTGGATGGATTGATGGATGTGTTTATGTATGTAGGTATTGATGGATAAATGGATGGATGAAAGGATAGATGAACGGACGCACGGATAGACGGACGGGCAGGCGGGTGGGGGGTAGTCGGTCAGACGGACGAATATATTATACATATATATATGGCGAGAGAAATAGCGACTCTCGCACGTAATTCGCTAAGCATGGAACCATGAATACATATTCGGGGAACCCTAGATAGACTGGCATAGACTAAGGCCAACGCGTGCCCTCAATAAAACTATTTATTATATATATCTATAGATTGATAGATAGATAGAAAGATAGATAGCTAGAAAGAAAGAAAGAAAGATAGATAGATAGGTAGATAGATAGATGGATAGATAGATATCTAGAGAGATAGATAGACGTGATGCGGCCATGATGCCGAGGCGCGCCGAGGATTGACACTTTGTGTCTTCCAATCACAGCCTACGCCGCACCAGTCGTTTATATTTCTACTATAAGTAAGAATATATCAGTATAAGGCTTTTCAGTCACCCTCTTTGCATTCACCCTCTTTGCGTTCACCCTCTTCGATATGGCAAGACCGCATCGCCTCGAAACGATGAGTGGTATGTATAACTGCATATGCTATGAACTCTTGTTATAGCATATTCTCGCTTCTCCTTTCATATTACCAGAAGTAGATAATAGAGAATAATAGTTACCTATTATCTACTTCTGATATTACCTAGTGGAGGAACAATAAAGGTTTAACTATGTAACCTCTGTTTCAACCAAGTGATGGTTGTTAGGGATATAATATGATATATAGCAGAGTAATGAATCACGAAGGTTCAGATATATGCCTCTCATTCTCACTGTTGTTACTGGAGTTACGACATACAACGATGTGCGAACAAGCAAGTCTAAGTATGCGTCTCTTTCATAGCGATTATTAAGCGAATAACGGTATACGGCGGTATATGAACGAGGCAGTTCAAATACGCCTATCCTTTCTCACCATAGCAGTATGCAACTGTATATAGCGGCGTAGGAACACGAAAGTTCCAATCTGCTTCTCCGTTCTCACCTCAGCAGCATTCGATGCACGAGTACCATGCATAGTGTAGTGTAGTCAGTGTGTTATGGTTTACTTACTGCATGCAATCTTTTATGTACGCACGATTTATGACAGTAAGATCTATACAACACTTTACGGTAATAATAAACATCCGGTCTTAGAGCCGGTGTGATGAGCAGAAAACGACGAGTTTAGTTGAGTGTTTAAAGGGAAGAGCCCACAACACTATATACAAAGCATGGTAATAACAAGTTCGAATATGCTTATCTTTTCCCGCCGCGTTAGCGATCTCAACATGAGCATCCACGGCTGAGTGTTCCCGGAGCGTCATCTATCCAGTAACAATGGGCGGCACGTGTTCGTCTGCTGCCGAGGCACCGGTGACGGAGACAGACAAGCGCGTCTGCTGCGTGGTGACCGAGCAGGAGCGCAGACTGCTGCGCAAGACGTGGCGATACATGACCAACCAATACGATCTGATGGAGCTCGGCTGTGAAGTGTTTCTCATGATTTTCGAACTGAATCCAGAGGCGAAGAAGATGTTTCCGTGCCGCGATGTCGAAGGCGAAGAGTTACTCACCAACCACGACTTTAAGGGGCACGCCTCCAGGTATAGAGATCAAAGCGAGGAAGAGTGAAAGGAGAGAGAGAGAGAGAGAGAGAGAGAGAGAGAGAGAGAGAGAGAGAGAGAGAGAGAGAGAGAGAGAGAGAGAGAGAGAGAGAGAGAGAGGAGAGAGAGAGAGATTTTGTTCAGCAGACAGCCAGCTTTTGTTCTTGTCTATATATATTATATTATTTATATTATAATATATTATATTATATTATATTAATATTATCATTATATTATATTATATTAGTATTATATTATATTATATTAATTATATTATATTATATTATAATATTAATTAACTATTAATGGCTTTATCCTGTAATCTATCATCTATTTAGGTTCATGCAGGCGGTGGGTGCGGCCATTGATCACCTGGACGATCTACAGCTGGAGTTGGAGCCGTTGCTATGCACGCTGGGAAGGACGCACGCCAACTATCGAAATCGCGGATTCGTGCCGCATTTTTTCGACGAGTTCACGGCGGCCATGATACAGACGTGGCAGAAAAAACTCGGGCGGAAATTCACGCCGGATGTCCGTGCTGCGTGGTTGACGATGCTGTCGTTCGTCGCCGCGGCCATGAAGAGCGGTTATAATGAATATAGTGCCCAGTATAGTAGATACTGATCAAGCCACGGAAGAGATCGACGACTGAATGACATATCATATATGCAAGTAGTCAATTAAAAAATTTCTGCATTATAATGCCACGGCATTAACGGCGACAGAGTAATTCGGTAAGGTCTCTATAGGCTTCTTCGTACTCTCATTGTACTCCAGCCTTGACACCAGTAACTATAATTTATATATATATATCTACGCGCTGATATCGGAAAAGAAATTCGACTGAGTATTAAGTTCTGTATTTAATGTTTACAATCCGTGTGGAATGCCTTACATGCGACGCTATATATATATGCGTATGCATCGGTACAATTATAAATAACTATTATTACGCACTGAGTAGGGGAAACCCGGGGCAAAGCGGAACACGGGGGCAAAGTGGAATTGTCTTCAGGCAGATCTATGTGATGCCCACCTTTCTATGCGTGACTGTTTTCATTAGAAGCCTCAGTTGATGATGCATCGTTTTGATGACGCCCATTTGCATGAATGCCAGGTATTACATTTTTTGGACAAAAGTCTGTTTTTTTATGTGTTTGAAATAATATTTTTTTAGAAATGAATCATCTGCTAAATCAAACTGTGATCTTGTTGGAATTCTTATGTAGCTATTTTTGTTGAATCTAAGGCCTATGGTGCCATAAATGCATGATGACATCTTTGATGTAGTTGGTCCTGCAGCAGCCGTAACGCGCACATGTACTAGAAAACCTTATCATCGTGTTCGCGGCGCGAGCAAATGGATGGGAGGCAAAGACGTGCGGAACCAGGGTTTCACTTGCCCCCGCGGCATACTTTGATAAGGCCTAAATGTATATCATTATTATCAGATGTAGTTGTATTATGATCTGAACTATAGTACTCACAGTAGCAGGGTAGGCCCTATGTCTGTCTTGGCATCATTTTTAAACACCTAACTCGTAACATTGGGCATAACTGTGTTCTTCCCTAGACATTTAATTATTGAAATTAACTCGTCCCTATAAATCGGCCGATATTTTCTTTCATATTTAGGCAAAATCGGTATCGCACAACTATGAATTTGCTGTTCAGAAGTTCCAGACACCTGAAAGAGGACGCAAACATTTTGAGTCACAATTACTAATGGAGTAAAATGACATTCCACCTCTGCCCCATGAACAGGTTTCACTTTGGCCGGGGAGTCTGCGGCAAAATAAAATATTTATAGAATTTATAATTTTGTATAATTTTCAATAAAGTAAATTTTTATAACATGAACACTTTGTTTTGTACGCGCCTTTAGTTTTTGTCCTTAAGGCCAAAGGATTAGAGCCAAATTCACTTTCGTCTCGCTGCTTTCACAGCTCGTTTGGCCAACGCAAATATTTTCGGTCCACTTTGCCCCGGGTTCCCCTATATTTCCATACTTGAATTTTAGAACGCTTTTATACAAAAGGTTCACATTTAACTGTATAATTTTTTAAAATGTGTTCTATAATAATGGACCTATATGTTACCTTATATGCCATTCCTAACTGCTACATATGAAACAATATATTGGATGATTTTTTTTATCTGCGTTTGCATTTTGGAACCAAGGTGTAGGCCTATAGGAAGGTTTACCTAATAAAATGTAATTCTGAAATCTCTCTCTTAAAATCGGGGAGCCACCCCAAGACCTTGGTGAGCTCTGTGTGTAGCATCAGGTCGCGTTCGTTCAATCTGTCGCGAAATTAAAAGTTGACTTCCACTTGACAGGAGCCTAGCTAACCCGTTTTACCTGGGGGTGGCAACATCAAATGACCCCTTGTCCCCAACACCACTGCTAGCTATGGCCCTATACTACTCGTGTATTTGAATTACAGAATGTACGCGTTCAAGAAGGTTTGTATTACGAACAAACCAAAATAAAGATAGTCCGTTAAAATCAAAATGGCGAATGTCGGTAGGCCTAGTGTCCGGTTACTGTAGCATAGGCGCTACAAATCGTTTGTAGGTAGCGATTTGACAACTATCAAGTTCGATAGATTAGAGCTGTCCAACTTCGTCATTTATGATTTTGCCGCTGTGAAACCAGAAATATAAAGTTTTACTTATCAATTAGCAACTGTGTTAGTGAACATATTGGCTATGATATTGCTCACTATATTGATGAATTTTATTAACCAAAATAAATTCATATATTATTATTATGAGTTGGTATATTTCAGCAAGCCGAATCTGTTACGGTTGGTGTTATTATTTATGTGACGAGTCTCATAGCTATGATGGAGCGCACATGTAAAGAGATTTAATAAGGGACTATAGATGGGTAAATATCAAACACTTATGACGTTTGACTGACAAATTTATTTTACATTAACTTTCTAATCCTCCAATCTGACCAGTAAAATATGAACAGAATTGACCTGTTTATATCTTTATGTTTCTGTTCTCGTATTCTTACTCTATTCCTGTGTTTGTCGGATTAACACCGTGCAGATGCAGTAGATGTCGCCACTAGCTGCGCGGACAAGAAGCTCTGTATTTCGATGCGTAAAGTGTATTGCGTACACCGAGTTTCTACGAATAGAGTTTCTAAGAAGTACGTAGGCAAAGCTCGTAGGTGCGATTCATCAACGCAGCGTAGCACCTGCGTACGCATATGTTGATGAATTCCAGTGTAAATCCACTACGCCATCGTAGCTGCTGGATGTTGAGAGGCGTGCCTAGCATAAACCAATCACACTGTGCGACACATACCATATCAACCAAACTGACGTCTCCCTTGTATGTAAACCATATGGCTCTAGCTCTGTCTACGGGAGTGCTGGGGGATGTGATAGTTGTCCTCATTTTCGTTTGTAAGATTGCGTTCAACACTCGATGAAAGCAGCGACACGTACACTTGCGGGCGTGCGTGCGTGTGCACGTACACGTGCGTGCGGGCGTATGTACGTACACGTGCGTGCGTGCGTGCGTGCGTGCGTGCGTGTGCACGTACACCTGCGTGCGTGCGTGCGTGCATGTGCACGTGTGCGTGCGTATTTTATGCACGTACACGAGCGTGCGTGTGTACGTACACGTGCGTGTGCGTGTGCGTGCGTGCGTGTGTACGAACACGTGCGTACGTGCGTTCGTGCGTGCGTGCATGTGCACGTGTGCGTGCGTGCGTGTGTGTGCACGTACACGTCATGTACGTGCGTGTGCACGTAAAAGTGCGTGCGTGTGCACGTAAAAGTGCGTGCGTGTGCACGTACAAGTCCTTGCGTGTGCACGTACACGTACGGCTAACTACGAACTCGCTTATAACGAAAACTCTGTATGAAATATATGTTTATTTATACGCAAGATTTAATATAATATAATGGCTAGTGGTGAGTTTTTTATTCATATTTTTTTTCGATACGCTTTTTGTCTATTTTTCAAATAGCCTCTAGGTGGCGCTTTCAGCGAGTGCCTTAGTCTGTGTCACTTGTGCGAGGATAGGGTGATTCCAAACTATCATTGGACGGGTGCGTGGGTGGGAGGGTTGTTTAATTCATTGATGGATGGATGGATGGAAGGAAGGATGGATGGATAGATGGATAAATGGATGAATTTCGTTATTGGTGGATATGTGGAGAGGTAAACGGCAAGAAGCACATACATTAAACGTTTTTGTTGTTGAACATTCAAAACATTTGCCATAAAAAACATTCGCATTAAAAAGCTTTCCCATAAATATTTAGTAGGCCTGCCATCAGCAAATAAATACATTTATTTCGGAACTCTCAAATGTTTCCCAATAGGCTACGGTTAAATAATATGAACCCCGGGTAATCCGAGTTTTTGCCCCGCAGGACAAAAGAATAGTTAAATGGGAATCTGGTACAGTGATTCGATTATGAAAGGTATACAAGCACACTAACAATGGTTTGATAGTTTTACTCTGTACATAACAGACAATTCATTTTTTATTTACAAAGCCTAGTTAGTTTGGCCTAAACACTCTTACATAGGATACGAACGGGACGCTAGTATGACGACCAATGTCGCTAATAAAAAGCTTTTATTCACTATTAGCCGCTGTTCTTTTTCAATTATATCATCGCACTCGTGTCACCTAATAGGAGAAGGAAATGAGTTTGCGAAGTAACTAACTTAACACATTACCCCGAATTTTGTATCACAATTTTCAATTCTTCAGGTACTTATGATTTCATACAATCTTCAAGCTGTTCAATCATCCATTCATAACTACCTGATTCATTTATATTGCTTTCTATTTATTTAGAGGATTGCCAACTGTATTACGACAATAAAAAGGTGGTAAGCGGTGGTAGACCTTAGTGGAACATCCTCGGTTACGATATACGTTCCTACTGTAATGTATAGCTATCAGCGATTCGATATAATTATTACGTAGTCTATAGTTAAACCTCGCGCAAAGGTGTCACCTCGAATTTTGCTGTTTGCCGCGCCTGTTTTAGGTCAGAGACAGACACACACACACACACACACACACACACACACACACACACACACACACACACACACACACACACACACACACACACACACACACACACACACACACACACACACACACACACACACAC